GCCGGACTCCGTCACGCGCCTCCGGAAGCTGACCGAAATCGTCATGCCCGATAACAACTTCTCCGGGCCCATTCCGCCAGGCCTTTTCCGCCTGCCCGCGCTCCGCCACGTGGACCTGAGCACACTCAATGCATACCCGGACGACAGAGGCACACTCACTAGACCGGAAAGACTAGTCGGCCTGTCTGGGTCCCTTCCCGACGGGCCCGACGCGTACTTCCCGTCGCTGGAGGAGGTATTCCTGTACGGCAACGCGCTCTCGGGGGAGCTTCCGCGCGCCCTTCTCCGCGCGCCCGCGCTGCGCTGGTTAGACCTGCAGAGCAACAACATCACGGGGGAACTCCCGGGGGAGGCGGGCGCGTATTCGCGGAGCATTACCGGGCTCATCCTGCGCAACAACAGCCTGTCCGGCGCCATTCCGGTCGCGCTGGCGGAGATGACGGCGCTGCGGAAACTCGACCTGGGGGAGAACCGCCTATCCGGCGCGGTGCCCGCGGCGCTGCGCGACTCCGAGTCGCTCAAGGCGCTCGAGGATGTGCGGCTCGACAGCAACGCGCTCACCGGGCCGTTCTGCGACGCGCTGCTGCCGGCGAGCAAGCTCTGGCTGGGCTTCAACGACCTGGGCAGCGCGACTCGCGCCAGCAGCAGCGCCAGCGCGAGCGGCGGCGGCGGAGGTGAGGAGAAGGAGGATGAGGGCTCTCTGCACGGCTGCGTGTTTCCCTCGAAGCTAGAGCTACTCAGCGCGCCGCACGCAGGGCTGCGGGGGAGCGTTCCGCCCGACCTTTTCCTCGAGACGAACGCACAGTCGGGGCACAAGCCCTCCATTGTTACGATTATGGACATGGATCTGAGCCGCAACAGCCTCTCGGGCAGCCTGAAAGCTTTTACGGTGATTCCCGATGTGTGGTCCAAGTTGGATCTGTCGCACAACAACTTCTCGGGCGGTATTCCCGAGGCGTTTTTCAGCGGCCGCTTCTCGCGCGTGGACCTGCGGTTTAACGAGCTGTCGGGGCCGCTGTTTGACACGCGCCGGGAGGATTGGAGGTACGACTGGGACAGGCTGCGCGTGAGCGACAACAGCGCGCGCATGGCGGGCGCCGTGGGCGCGGGGTACCTCCCCGCGCCGGCGCCTGGTGTGCAGGCGTCCGCTGCGGAGACTGAGGCGCTGCTGGCCGTGCGCGATGCGCTCCTGGGGGAAGCAGCGGGGGAGGCAGCGGGGGGAACAGCGGAAGAAACAGCCGGGGGAACGGCGTTCGCGGACGGCGGAAATGGCTCGTGGGCGGAGATTCTGCGCAGCTGGGACGCGAGCAGCAGCAGCGCGTGTGCGTGGTATGGCGTGGGGTGCACAGCAGACGGACACGTGGACACTCTACACCTGATAGGCGCTTCCAACGTCACCCTACACCCCAACTTCGTCCCGGAATCGCCCGAATGTGAATACGACGAGTTCGGTGTCAAGTCATGTGCGCCTGACTTTCCGCCGCCTCCCCCCCAAGTGCGGCTCTTTCTGCACAGCCTGCATGGCGGCAGCGCTAGCGCCGGCCGTGCGAGTGCGAGCGGCAGCCTGTCGGAGGCGTTGGGGCAGCTGACGCACCTCACCTCGCTACGCATCTCCGGGCACGTTCTCTCCGGCGGCCTGCCACCGTCCCTCTCACGCCTCTCTCACCTCGTCGCTCTCGACCTCTCCTCCAACCGCCACCTCTCCGGCTCCATCCCCCCCGCCCTCTTCGCCCTCCCCTCGCTGCGAGAGCTCTCCCTCCGTGGGAACAACCTCACGGGAGAGGTCCTCCCATCCACCACTGCAGCAGCAGCAGAAGCAGCACCGTCTCTGTCACCGAGCTTGGGGAGTCTAGACGTGGGGGAAAACTCTCTCTCGGGGTCCATTCCAGCTGACGTGAGTCTTCTGACGGGGCTGACGCGCCTGGCGCTGGACCAGAACCGGCTGGACGGCAGCTTGCCAAGGGAGCTCGGCGCGCTCTGGATGCTCACAGACCTGCAGCTGCAGGGGAACGCCCTCCAGGGGGACGTCTCTGCACTCGCTGCCGCCTTCCCCCCCCCTGCTGCTGCTGCTGCTGCTGACAACTCTGCTGCCTCCAGTGCTCCTGTCCTGTGGGGCCTCCTTGGGTTGTTCCCGCTGCTGACCCGTCTGGACGCCCTGCAGGGCGATATCGCTGCACTCGCTGCCCCCCCCCCCCCCCCCCCAGCTGCTGCTGCTGCTGACGCTGGCAGTTCTGCCGACCCTACTGCCTCCAGTGCGCCTGTCCTGTGGGGTCTCCGCGGGGTGTTCCCGCTGCTGACCCGTCTGGACGTCAGCAGCAACCAGCTCTCGGGCGACACAGCCGCGCTCTTCCCTCTCCCGCAATACTTACACACACTCAACGTCTCGCACAACCGCCTCACGTGGAGCCCCGGCAGCAACGCCTTCTGGAGCGCGGACTACATGGACCTCTCACACAACCGCATCAGCGCCCCCCTGCAACGCTTATTCCGGTTCAAGGACAACCTCCAGTCGACGGTGCTGCGTCTGTCGCACAACCTGCTCACGGGTTCGATTCCTGCCATGTTCAATGATGTATACTCCTTGGAGACGCTCGACCTGTCATACAACCAGCTGTCCGGCACCATTCCCGACCTGGGTCGCTCGCTGATAACATGTGACTTGTCTCACAACCGGCTCACCGGGAACGTCCCACCAGCGCCGCCTGCAATGGAGCATCTGAATGTGAGCTGGAATCAGCTTGGTGGGATTGTCCGGTGGCATGGTCTGGAGGGCAGGGGGTTGAAGAGTCTGGACGCGTCTCACAATGCCATGGCAGGAAATCTGCCAGCTTTGGGTAACAGTGATGGGGTTATGAGCCTGACCTATCTGGACCTCTCCTACAATGCGTTTACTGGCACTCTTGCGCAAAGGACCTACCCCTTTTTGGAGCAAGTGACAGGCTCTCCACACTTTCTGGAGAGTGGGTGCGGGGTAGAGGTTCGGCTGCACCACAATAAGCTCACTGGAAGTATGCCTAGTTTTGTCTTCTCCTCGTGCCTCTCGCTGCTCGACCTCTCCCACAACCAGCTCTCTGGCCCCATCCCAGATCCTTCCCAAGGGAACAGCCAGAGCTCCTCCCTCGTCCCCCTCTCCTACTTGGACCTCTCTTCCAATAAGCTCACAGGAAGCATCTCCAATGCTCTTGTCACCGGCCTCACAGCCCTATCCCACTTGGATCTCTCCAACAACCTGCTCTCTGGCTCGCTCCCTTCATCCCTCCCGCGCTTCACCGCTCTGCACTCCTTGCTAGCTGCGCGCAACCGAATGAGCGGCAGCATCCCTGCAGGGCTGGCATCGCTGACGGCCCTGCAGGAGCTGGACGTGTTGTGGAGCGGGCTGTCAGGCACCATCCCTGCGCGCCTGCGTGCTGCTGCCCCCTCCCTGCAAGTGCACCTCGCTGGCAACGCCCTCTCTGGCTCCGTCCCCCCCTCTCTCTCCGACCTGCCCACCTCCTGCTTCCGCCCCGGCAACCCCAAGCTCTGTGGGAAGCCCCTGCCTGACTGCAAGAAGCGCTCCTCCAAGCCCAGGAAGGGCCGGGTGTAGGGAGTGGGGAGGCGAGAGGACTGGCCTGGCCGCTGCTTGTCTGGTTCTGATTTAATGGAACCTGTAGTTGGTTGCATGAAAGGCGTCCACAAAAACTGCTGTTGTGAAGTGGAATGGAGGTACTAGCACTGTTGTACTACTAGGTGTATACTGTACCTTCAGTTTTTGCTACAGTTGTGGATTCAACTGAGTGGCAAGTCAACTTGTAACCCAATGCATCTTTGTTGTTTCTCAGCGTTGTATACTACAATTGATGCCCAACCAGTGCACGCGGATTTGCCTTGCACCGGATGGAAACGCTGCACCCGAGGTTGTTTCCCCAGCCTGTTGCTCCCACTTTATAAGCGCGTCGCGTGGTTGTCAACCAATAGTAACGAACAGACCGAGGTCAAGCAGAAGAGACTGAAGTCAAATAAGGTAACAGATCTTGTTTACAAGCACCTGCGAATCCTTTTTAGCCAGCTGCGAATTGACGAAACTTATGCGAAATGTTTGTTACAGCTGTTGAGGCCCACCCAAATACACTGTACAGAAAATATCCTACGGGATTTACAGTGCAGCATACGCTACAGTTTCCCAACCAAACCTGGGCATTCACCTGCAGTGCGACATGCGGCTCGGCTTGAACTCAATCGAGCAACACCCAACTGCCGATTTCTCCTAACGACCACCACTACCCCCCTCGCTTGTCCCTCCCCTGAGACTTCTGTCTCTCTCTGTTCCCTCCAACCACCTGCACATGCACGCCCCACCCAGAGGATTCTTCCCCGTTCCACCACTTTCTCTCGAAGTCGTGCTGTGTGTGTCTTCCACCTTGGCTGCTGCTCTCGCACTTTCCTTCCCTTCCCTAGCCTCTTGGCTCTCTTTGTAGTTGGTACTTCGCCTCGCTGGCTGTAAACCTACTCGTAGGCACTGTTGTACCAATGTCCCTCTTCACGCCACTTCCGGTGGTAGTAGTCACCGCTTATGATCGCGCCATAACAGTACCCGGTGTTACTATGGCTGTCCACTACCGCAGCAGGCACCAGGTCAGAAAGCGCTACGTACCTTTCGCGCACCCCTTCCGCCAATCTTCTTCTGCTCAACCCTCCTCCGCCTTAGACCCTCATGGCGTCCCGTCAGCAAAGTCAACGTTCCGATTGTGGGCACTCCCCGATCGTGCCGCTGCTCAATGTCACAGGTACTACTACAACTACTATCTACTCGGACCTCCTTCAACTCTCTCCCATGAAATCAGTGCCACAACGCCCGGCATTAGAACAGTTGGTAGTACAAGTGCCAATGGGGCTCGATATTGTCAGCGAACTTAGGGACTAATCACCTAGATTTTATATTTCCGCTTTTCAAATATTTGCATAGAGTAAGTGCAGCAAGCTGCCATTCTTATCCGAAGATCAGGCCAATCTCACACCCCCACATGACGTCATTCCCTCCTAGCGCCTTCCAGACGTCCCTCCCCGTCCCCTCGCGCCTTGCCCTCATCGCCCTCCTCGCGCTCATCGCCCTCCTCCGCCAGGCGGAAGCCTACTCCGAGCTGCCGCGCCCCGAGGGGTGCGTCGAGGAGATAGCGGAGGTCGACCGGGAGGCCATGCACGCGGTGTACGCGGCGCTGCCTGAGGGGATGTTCTTCTGGCACGACGGCATGTCGCCGCTCAGGATGTTGGATGAGCACGGCAATATCACGTACTGCTGCGTCATGCCCAGACCCAAGGAGGAAGAGTCGTCCTGGTGCGACCTTTCGTGCCCGCTCGAGTGCACGCCCGCCGGCCGCATCACCAGCATCTACTACGACCCGAGCCGCATAGCTACGCCCGGACTTGGCGGGAGCGGAGGCAGCTGCCCGCCCGGCGCGCTGTCGCCCGCCATTGGCGACCTCGCGGAGCTCTCCGCGCTGGTCTTCCGCCACTCGTGCCTCGCCGGCGACTTGCCGGACTCCGTCACGCGCATCCAGAAGCTGACGACTTTTGAAATGCCCGAAAACAACTTCTCTGGGTCCATTCCTCCAGGCCTCTTTCGCCTGCCCGCGCTCTGCCACGTGGATCTGAGCACACTCAGAGTCGACTTGGAATTTCAACTCTCGAAATTTCAAGTTGAGTTTGAAGGCCTTTCGGGGTCCCTTCCCGACGGGCCCGACGCGTACACCCCGTCCTTAGAAGAGGTTATCCTGTCCGTCAACGCGCTCTCGGGGGAGCTTCCGCGCGCCCTTCTCCGCGCGCCTGCGCTGCGCCGGTTGGACCTGCGGAGCAACAACATCACGGGGGAACTCCCCGGGGGGGCGGTCGCGTATTGGGGGGGCATTACCGCGCTCAGCCTGCGCAACAACAGCCTGTCCGGCGCCATTCCGCCCGCGCTGGCGGAGATGACGGCGCTGCGGAAACTCGACCTGGGGGAGAACCGTCTGTCTGGCGCGGTGCCCGCGGCGCTGCGCGACTCCGAGTCGCTCAAAGTGCTCGACGAGGTGCGGCTCGACAGCAACGCGCTCACCGGGCCGTTCTGCGACGCGCTGCTGCCGGCGCGCGAGCTCTGGCTGGGCTTCAACGACCTGGGCGGTGCCAGTGGCAGCGGCGGCGGCGGCGGCGGTGGGGGAGGTGAGGAGGAGGAGAGGGGCTCTCTGCACGGCTGTGTGTTTCCCGCGAAGCTAGAGATCCTCAGCGCGCCGCACGCGGGCCTCCGGGGGAGCGTTCCGCCCGACCTGTTCCTTGCGACGAGCGCGCAGTCGGGGCAGAGGCCCTCTTTAGTTAGGCCCTCTTATAAGAATATCCAGATGGACCTGAGCCACAACAACCTCTCGGGCAGCCTGAAAGCTTTCACGATGCTACCGGAGTCGTCCATGTTGGACCTGTCGCACAACAACTTCTCCGGCGGTATTCCCGAGGTGTTTTACAGCGACTTCTCGCGCGTGGACATGCGGTTTAACGAGCTGCGGGGTCCCCTGTTCGACGCAAACCTGGAGTCGCGGAGATCTCGGTTTTGGAGATACGGCTGGGACGTGCTGCGCGTGAGCAACAACAACGCGCGCATGGCGGGCGCCGTGGGCGCAGGGTACCTCCCCGCGCCGGCGCCGGGCGTGCAGGCCTCCCCTGCGGAGACTGCTGCGCTGCTGGCGGTGCGCGATGCGCTCCTGGGGGAAGCAGCGGGGGGAGCAGCGGGGCAAACGGAGTTGGTGAATGGCGGAAGCAGCTCGTGGGCGGAGATTCTGCGCAGCTGGGACGCGAGTAGCAGCAGTGCGTGTGCGTGGTACGGCGTGGGGTGCACAGCAGACGGACACGTGGACACGCTGCACCTGATAGGCGCTTCCAACGTCATGCTGCACCCCAACTTCGTCCCGGAGTTGCCCGAATGCGAGTACGACCAGAACAGAACAAATAAGAGATGTGCGCACGATGTTCCGCCACCTCCCCCCAGAGTGGGGTTCTTCCTGCAGGGCTTGCCTGGCATCAGTGGCAGTGCGAGCGGCAGCCTGTCGGAAGCGTTGGGGTAGCTGACGCACCTCACATCGATACGCATCTCCGGGCACGCCCTCTCCGACGGCCTGCCACCGTCCCTCTCACGCCTCTCTCACCTCGTTGCTCTCGACCTCTCCTCCAACCGCCACCTCTCCGGCTCCATCCCCCCCGCCCTCTTCGCCCTCCCCTCGCTGCGAGAGCTCTCCCTCCGCGGGAACAACCTCACGGGAGAGGTCCTCCCAACCACCACTGCAGCAGCAGCAGCAGAAGTAGCGGCGCTGTCACCGAGTTTGGAGATTATAGACGTTGGGGGAAAACTCTCTCTCGGGGTCCATTCCAGCTGACGTGAGTCTTCTGACGGGGCTGACGCGCCTGGCGCTGGACCAGAACCGGCTGGACGGCAGCTTGCCAAGGGAGCTTGGCGCGCTCTGGATGCTCACAGACCTGCAGCTGCAGGGGAACGCCCTCCAAGGGGACGTCTCTGCACTCGCTGCCGCCTTCCCCCCCCCCTTTGCTGCTGCTGCTGCTGCTGCTGCTGCTGCTGTTGCCAGCGATGGCAGTACCGCCGACTCTGCTGCCTTGTGGGGCCTCCGCGGGGTGTTTCCGCTGCTGACCCGTCTGGACGTCAGCAGCAAATAGCTCTCGGGCGATGTAGCCATGCTCTCCCCTCTCCACCAAGACTTCCACACACTCAACGTCTCTCACAACCTCCTCACGTGCAGCCCCGGCAAGACCTCCTGGAACGCGTATTATATGGACCTCTCACACAACCGCATCAGCGCCCCGCTGCAAAGCTTGTTCCGTTTCTCGGACAGCCTCTGGTTGATTTTGCTGCGCCTATCGCACAACCCGCTGTCGGGACCCATCCCTGCCACTCTCCTGCAAAAAAAAAGTACAGCAGAGCTGGACCTCTCCCACAACCTGCTCACGGGTTCAATTCCTGCCATCGTCAATTTATACTCCATGAAGACACTCGACCTGTCGCACAACCAGCTGTCCGGCACCATTCCCGAACTGAATGGCACCCTGATAAGATGTGACGTGTCCCACAACCGGCTCACCGGGAAAGTCCCACCGGCGCCGCCTGCAATGGAGCATCTGAATGTGAGCTGGAATCAGCTTGGTGGGGTTGTCCGGTGGCATGGTCTGGAGGGCAGGGAGTTGAAGAGTCTGGACGCGTCTCACAATGCTATGGCAGGAAGCCTGCCGGCCTTGGGTTACATTTATGGGCTCATGAGCCTGACCTATCTGGACCTCTCTTACAATGCTTTCAATGGCACTCTTGCGCAACATACCTACCCGTTTTTGGAGCGAGCGACAGGCGCAGGAAAAGTGGAGCGTGCGTGCGGGGTGGAGGTTCGGCTGAGCCACAATGAGCTCACTGGAAGCATCTCTGATTTCGTCTTCTCCTCGTGTCTCTCACCGCTCGACCTCTCCCACAACCAGCTCTCTGGCCCCATCCCAGACCCTCCCCAAGGAACAGCCAGAGCTCCTCCGTCGACCTTCTCTACTACATGGACCTCTCTTCCAATAAACTCACAGGAAGCATCTCCAATGCTCTTGTCACCGGCCTCACAGCCCTATCCCACTTGGACCTCTCAGACAACCTTCTATCAGGCTCGCTGCCGCGCTCGCTCGCTCTTGTCCCCTTGCTCACCGACCTCAACCTCTCACGCAACAAGCTCAAGGGCTCCCTGCCTGCCTTCTGCCAGGGCAAGCAGCGCCCCGCCTCTCTCCTCCTCTCCTCCAACGCTTTCTCCGGCCCCCTCTCCTCCCTCCTCCCCTCCTCCCCCTCCTGCGCCTCCTCCCTCCTCTCCCTCAACGTCTCCACCAACCAGCTCTCCGGCTCGCTCCCCTCGTCCCTCTCGCGCTTCACCGCTCTGCACTCCTTGCTAGCGGCGCGCAACCGCATGAGCGGCAGCATCCCTGCAGGGCTGGCATCGCTGACGGCCCTGCAGGAGCTGGACGTGTCGTGGAGCGGGCTGTCAGGCACCATCCCTGCGCTGCTGCGTGCTGCTGCCCCCTCCCTGCAAGTGCACCTCGCTGGCAACGCCCTCTTTGGCTCCGTCCCCCCCCCCTCTCTCCGCTCTGCCCACCTCCTACTTCCGCCCTGGCAACCCCAAGCTCTGTGGGAAACCCCTGCCTGACTGCAAGAAGCGCTCTTCCAAGCCCAGGAAGGGCAGGGTGTAAGGCGTGGGGAGGCAAGAGGGGACCAATCGCTGCTTGTCTGTTTCTAATTCAATGGAACCTGTAGTTGGTTGCATGAAAGGTGTCCACAAAAAATGCTGTTGTAAAGTCCTGTTTGTTGCAGGTACCAACATCCTGCTGGGTGCTGCCGTTCCCTCCGTGACTCGTTTGGAGCTGCTGTGTTCCTCTCACTTCAACTTGCTATTGACTGCAGTTTTCACTGAGTACCTTGAGACGGGGTATCTGGGAGATGACGGGCGTCAGTGTCATGGTCCTGTAGTGAATATTATTGAGGCCCATGAAAATACACTGTACAAATAATATTGATCTCAAGATGGCATGCGACTCGGAGAGCCCGCCGCATCCTACGGGATCTACAGTTCACCACACGCTACAGTTTCCCAACCGAACCTGGGCAAAGGCACATGCAGTGCGACATGCGGCTCGGCTTGAACTCAAAGCAACACCCAACTGCCTATTCCTCCCAACCACCACCACTCCCTCCCTCCCTTGCTTGTCCCTCTCTGTTCCCTCCCAACCACCGGCACATGCACGCCCAGAGTCTTCTTCCCCGTTCCACCACTTTCTCTCGAAGTCGTTCTGTGTCTTCCGCCTTGGCTGCTGCTCTCGCACCTTTCCCTTCCCTTGCCTCTAGGTCGTGCAAAATTCCCAGGCAACCAGCAGGTTTTACGGCTGCGCCTAGCTGGACTCGACAGAAACTATTCAGCACTTCGCTTCGTTGGCAGTAGCCCAATTCGTTGGCAATGTTACCAATGTCCCTCTTTACTTCCGGAGGTGGTAGTAGTCAGCGGTTACGATCCCGTTGTAACAGCACGCGCTGTTACTATGGCTGTTTATTACCGCAGCAGGCGCCGGGTCAGAACGCGCCTCGTACTCCGCGCGGACCCCTTCCGCCAATTTGATTCCGCTAAACCCTCCTCCGCCTTAGACCCTCCTGACCGAGTCCCGTCAACGAAGACAACGTTCCGAACGTGGGGAGAACCCGATCATGCCGCTACTCAACGTCACAGTCCCTTCAACTACTATTTTTTCGGACCTCTTACAACTCTTGCCCATAGAATCTGTGCAACAGCGCCCGGCATTACAACAAGTGGTAGTACAAGCGCCAACAGTGCTCGAGTTTGTCAGCGACATACGGAGTAATGACTTACACTGATATTTCAGCTTTCCCAATTTTTACACCGAGTCTGTGCAGCAAGCTGCCATTCTTATTCAAAGATCAGGCCAATCTCACACCCCCACATGACGTCATTCCCTCCTAGTAGCGCCGTCCAGTCGTCCCTCCTCGTCCCCCCGCGCCTTGCCCTCATCGCCGTCCTCGCGCACATTGCCCTCCTCCGCCAGGCGGAGGCCTACACCGCCCCGCCGACCGCCGACGGTTGCGTCGCGGAGATAGCGGAGGTCGACCAGGAGGCCATGCGCGCGGTGTACGCGGCGCTGCCCGAGAGGATGTTCTTCTGGCACGACGGCATGTCGCCGCTCGGGATGTTGGACGAGCACGGCAATGTCACGTACTGCTGCGTCATGCCCCGCCCCACGCGGGACGGGTCGTCCTGGTGCTACCTCTCGTGCCCGCTCGAGTGCACACCCGGCGGCCGCATCACGCGCATCTACTCTGATCCGAGCGGCGAGGACATGCCCGGCGGGAGTTGCCCGCCCGGCGCGCTGTCGCCCGCCATTGGCGATCTCGCGGAGCTCTCCGCGCTGGTCTTCCGCCACTCGTGCCTCGCCGGCGACTTGCCGGACTCCGTCACGCGCCTCCAGAAGCTGACGATTTTTGAAATGCCCGAAAACATTTTCTCCGGGCCCATTCCGCCAGGCCTCTTCCGCCTGCCCGCGCTCCGCCTCGTGGATCTGAGCACACTCAATGAATACCGGGAACTTCAGCCTCAACCTCAATATAAAGGCCTTTCAGGGTCCCTTCCCGACGGGCCCGACGCGTACTCCCCGTCGCTGGAAACGGTAATCCTATCCGGCAACGCGCTCTCGGGGGAGCTTCCGCGCGCCCTTCTCCGCGCGCCTGCGCTGCGCCGGTTGGACCTGCAGAGCAACAATTTCACGGGGGAACTCCCGGGGGGAACGGGCGCGTATTCGCGGAGCATTACCGCGCTCATCCTGCGCAACAACAGCCTTTCCGGCGCCATTCCGCCCGCGCTGGCGGAGATGACGGCGCTGCAGAAACTCGACCTGGGGGGGAACCGTCTGTCCGGCGCGGTGCCCGCGGCGCTGCGTGATTCCGAGTCGCTCAAGGCGCTCGACGAGGTGCGGCTCGACAACAACGCGCTCACCGGGCCGTTCTGCGACGCGCTGCTGCCGGCGCGCGAGCTCTGGCTGGGCTTCAACGACCTGGGCGGCGCGACCGCCGGGAGCAGCGCCAGCGGCGGCGGCGGCGGCGGTGGGAGAGGTGAGGAGGAGGAGGGGGGCTCTCTGCACGGCTGCGTGCTTTCCGCGAATCTAGAGATGCTCAGCGCGCCGCACGCGGGCCTCCGGGGAAGCGTTCCGCCCGAAATGTTCCTCGCGACGAACTCGCAGACAGGGCGGAGGCTCCCTTTATTTAAGAGTATCCAGATGGACCTAAGCCACAACAGCCTCTCGGGCAGCCTGAAAGCTTTCACGGCGAATCCGTCGTGGTACGACTTGGACCTGTCGCACAACAACTTCTCCGGCGGTATTCCCGAGGTGTTTTTCAGGGACTACTCGCGCGCGGACCTGCGGTTTAACGATCTCAGGGGTCCGCTGTACGACGCGCGCCGGGATTCGCAGAGCTGCGACTGGGACGTGCTGCGCGTGAGCAACAACAGCGCGCGCATGGTGGGCGATGTGGGCGCGGGGTACCTCCCCGCGCCGGCGCCTGGCGTGCAGGCGTCCGCTGCGGAGACTGCTGCGCTGCTGGCAGTGCGAGATGCGCTCCTGGGGGAAGCCGTATCGGGGGAAGCATCGGGGGAAGCAGGGGGGGGAACGGCGTTGGCGGACGGCTGAAACAGCTCGTGGGCGGAGATACTGCGCAGCTGGGACGCGAGCAGCAGCAGCACGTGTGCGTGGTACGGTGTGGGATGCACAGCAGACGGACACGTGGACACGCTGCACCTGATAGGCGCTTCCAACGTCATGCTGCACCCCAACTTCGTCCCAGAATCGCCCGAATGCGAATACGACAACTGGTACGGAGATACGATATGCGCACATGACGTTCCGCCGCCTCCCCCCGGAGTTCGCTTCTTCCTGCAGGGCTTGCCTGGCGGCAGCTCGAGTAGCAGCGCGAGTGGGAGTCTGTCGGAGGCGGTGGGGCAGCTGACGCAGCTCACCTCGCTGCGCATCTCCGGGCACGTCCTCTCCGGCGGCCTGCCACCGTCCCTCTCACGCCTCTCTCACCTCGTCGCTCTCGACCTCTCCTCCAACCGCCACCTCTCCGGCTCCATCCCCCCAGCCCTCCTCACTCTCCCCTCGCTGCAAGAGCTCTCCCTCCGCGGGAACAACCTCACGGGAAAGGTCCTCCCAACCACCACTGCAGCAACAGCAGCAGCGGCAGCGCCGCTGTCACCGAGCTTGGAGATTCTAGACGTGGGGGGAAACGCTCTCTCGGGGTCCATTCCAGCTGCCGTGAGTCTTCTGACGGGGCTGACGCGCCTGGCGCTGGACCAGAACCGGCTGGACGGCAGCTTGCCAAGGGAGCTCGGCGCGCTCTGGATGCTCCGAGACCTGCAGCTGCAGGGGAACGCCCTCCAGGGGGACGTCTCTGCACTCGCTGCTGCCTTCCCTGCTCCCCCTTCTGCTCTTGCCGACCCTACTGCCTCCAGTGCGCCTGTCTTGTGGGGTCTCCGCGGGGTGTTTCCGCTGCTGACCCGTCTGGACGTCAGCAGCAACCAGCTCTCGGGCGACGCAGCCACGCTCTCCCCTCTCCAGCAACACTTCCACACACTCAACGTCTCACACAACCGCCTCATGTGCGGCCCCGGCAACGCCTCCTGGAACGCCGACTACCTGGACCTCTCACACAACAGCATTAGCGCCCCGCTGCAAAGCTTATTCCGGTTCTGGGACAGCCTCCAGTCGAGGGTGCTGCGCCTGTCACACAACCAGCTCTCGGGACCCATCCCTGCCACACTCCTGCGAGACAAAGTGCAAGGAGAGCTGGACCTCTCCCACAACCTGCTCACGGGTTCAATTCCTGCCATCGAAAATTTATTCTCCATGAAGACGCTCGACCTGTCATACAACCAGCTGTCTGGCACCATTCCCGACCTGGATGGCTCCCTGGAAAAATGTGACTTGTCCCACAACCGGCCCACCGGGGAGGTCCCCCCGCCGCCATTTGCAATGGAACATCTGAACGCGAGTTGGAACAAGCTTGATGGGATGGCTCTATGGCATTATCATGAGGGCAGGGGGTTAAAAAGCCTGGACGTGTCTCACAATGCTATGGCGGGAAATCTGCCAGCCTTGGGTTACAGTGATGGGCTCATGAGCCTGACCTATCTGGACCTCTCCTACAATGCGTTCAATGGCACTCTTGCGCAACAGACCTACCTGTTTTTGGAGCGAACGACAGGCTCTCCAGAAAGTGTGGAGCGTGCGTGCGGGGTAGAGGTTCGACTGGGCCACAATAAGCTCACTGGAAGCATCTCAAGTTTTGTCTTCTCCTCGTGCCTCTCGCTGCTCGACCTCTCCCACAACCAGTTCTCTGGCCCCATCCCAGACCCTTCCCAGGGGAGCAACCAGAGCTCCTCCCTCGTCCCCCTCGCCTACTTGGACCTCTCTTCCAACAAACTCACAGGAACCATCTCTGATGCTCTCCTCTCCGGCCTCACAGCCCTATCCCACTTGGATCTCTCAGACAACCTTCTATCAGGCTCGCTGCCCCGCTCGCTCGCTCTTGCCCCCATGCTCACCCATCTGGACCTCTCACGCAACAAGCTCAAAGGCTCCCTGCCTGCCTTCTGCCAGGGCAAGCAGCGCCTCGCCTCTCTCCTCCTCTCCTCCAACGCTTTCTCCGGCCCCCTCTCCTCCCTCCTCCCCTCCTCCCCCTCCTGCGCCTCCTCCCTCCTCTCCCTCAACGTCTCCACCAACCAGCTCTCCGGCTCGTTCCCCTCGTCCCTCTCGCGCTTCACCGCTCTGCACTCCTTGCTAGCGGCGCGCAACCGTATGAGCGGCAGCATCCCTGCAGGGCTGGCATCGCTGACGGCCCTGCATGAGCTGGACGTGTCGTGGAGCGGGCTGTCAGGCACCATCCCTGCGCTGCTGCGCGCTGCTGCCCCCTCCCTGCAAGTGCACCTCGCTGGCAACGCCCTCTCTAGCTCCGTCCCCCGCTCTCTCTCCAACCTGCCCACCTCCTGCTTCCGCCCCGGCAACCCCAAGCTCTGTGGGAAGCCCCTGCCTGACTGCAAGAAGCGCTCCTCCAAGCCCACGAAGGGCCGGGGGTAGGGAGCGGGGAGGCGAGAGAGAGGACTGGCGGCTGCTTGTCTGATCTGATTCAATGGAACCTGCGGTTGGTAGCAGAAAGGCGTCTACAAATATGTTGTAAAGTCGAAGGGAGGGTACCACTGTTGTACTACGAGGTGTACGTATATGTTCGCTTAGGTGTGTTGCGAAAGAATAAGGGAAGGGGGAGGGGGTACCTATTCAGTTTTTTTACTGCTGTTGTGGACTCAACTGTGCTGCGATCAGAAGTTGATCATGGCCTAGGATCTACTCAGGAAGGTTCGCACGCAGAGAAGTGATGTTGGTGGGCCCTTGGCCTCAATAGCAGAGTGAATGTAAAATGCTTTGAGATAATAAAGAACGTGCAGTACAGGGAATATAAATATGAGTACAGGGGAATTCGAAACGACCTAACTAGCCATGTACTCTAAGGGGTACATTCCCTTATTGCATTGAAATCCAACCGTGCGACTCCGAGTGGTTACGTGACTGTTCGGGCAGAATCCTCGCCACTGCTGCTGCCTGATGCTGTCTGCCCGACGGTCCAGATGCTCCTCGTAACTGTCTGTCCCTTCGCCTTTCTTCTGCCTTTTCGTCTTCACTCTCGATAGTGCGTGCTTCGGCTTTGCTACGGTGAGGAGTGCACAGTAATATTCAAGTATTACTATTCGTAACACCCCCCTTCACTCCTGGCCGTAGCTCGACTTGACCTGCTTGACCACGCCGCTGAGTTCGTAGCAGTGCTGATACTGCTGGCGTGGCAGTCGCTTCGTGAGGAAGTCTGCTGCCATGTCACCGGTCGGGCAGTAGGTCAAGTTGACCTTGCCCTTGTCCACCTCATCCTTCACGAAGAAGTACCGCAGCGCAATGTGCTTGGTGCGGTTGACGAAACCAGGTTTGTTCGCGATGCGAATCGCGCTCTGGTTGTCGCAGTGCAGGCGAAAGCTCGTTGAGGCCGGAATTTTTGCTTCCTGCAGCAGTTCCTGAAGGTAGAGACCTTCGCGAACAGCTGCTGTTGCTGCGATAAATTCAGCTTCCGCCGATGACAGGGCAACCAACTCCTGCTTCTGAGAGTTCCAGGAGATGGGGCCGCTGGGCTCGAGGCGGAAGAGGAATCCTGTCCTGGACCGTCGATTGTCAGGGTCAGCGGCGTGATCGGCATCCACGTAGCCGACGAGACTGAAGGATGTGGTTGGGATGGTGGAATAACTGAGCCCGACATTGGGCGTGGAGATGAAGAATTGAAGGGCTCGCTGAAGATCTGAGAGATTCTCAGCCGTTGGTTTGCGTGAGTACTGAGCCAACTGGCTCGCAATGTAGGAGAGGTCGGGCCTGCAGGTAACAGATGCGAAAAGCAGGCATCCCAACTGCTGCTGGTAAGTGTGAAGCCCAGCAGGGGACAGGGCTTTGTTGTCAGGCTTGTGGTTGGGTCCTGGAGTGCGGTAAGGGGTGGAGAGTGGTGCAGGCGCAATGTTGAAGCGCTTGCTAAGCTCCTCCGCATACTTCGTTGCTGAGAGATGAATGGCTTCCGGCGAGTAGGTGATGTTGAGTCCGAGAAACTGCTTCACGTCATGATTGCAGGTGATGTCGACGCGCCCTGCGAGGCTTCTCTCAAACTGCTCGAGCAGTTCGTTGCTTGAGCCTGTGTAGAGAAGGTCGTCGACGTAGACCGTGAGGAGGATGTATTCGCCGCGGAAATCGCGGCGATACATTCCAGGATCGTGAGGCAACTGCTTGAACCCGATTTCAAGCAGTATGTTGTGCAGATACTGCTGCCAGAGTCTCGGTGCCTGTTTGATCCCATAGAGGGACTTGCGTAGCTGACAGACGCGTGGGTCTCTGTCGCCGTAAGTGTGTGGCTGTTCCACGTAGATCACGGCGTCCACTAATGCGTACAGGAACGCATTCTTCACATCGATCTGCCGGAGTGGTAGGTGTCGTGCGGCTGCGATGGCGAGGAGAATTCTGACGGACATGTGACGGCTGACCGGTGCAAATGTCTGGTCAAAATCAATCCCGTGCCTTTGATCGTAGCCGCGTACCACCCAGCGTGCCTTGAATCGCTCAATCCTTCCGTCGGCTCATGTCTTCACTCGGAAGACCCATCTTCCGGAGAGAATCCTTCTCCCCTTTACTGCTGCACGGTCGACGAGCACCCAGGTGTCGCGCGACTCGAGTGCCCGGATTTCCGCATCCATTGCTTCGCGCCACTCCTTGCTGTGTGGGCCTGTGAGGGCTTGCCGTGGGTTCTTAGGTTCGATGATGCGCGGAGCAATGGAGATGGCAGCGTGTAGTCCAAGTAGCTGGAGACCGGTGATAGTGCTGTCGTGGCGATGTTGAGTGACGACTTCCTGCACGTCGTCATCATCGCTTTCTGGTTCAGGAGGTGCTGGCGGTGCTGTGTCTCCGCCGCTTCTGCTTCCTCCTGCTGCACCTCCTCCTGTTGTGCCTGTTCCTCCTTCACCTGAATCATCGTCGTCGTCGTCGTCGTCGTCGTCGCGGCGATCGCCCCTTGTGAACTCGCCTCTGGGATCCTGCTCCAGAATTGCTGCTGCTGCTTCGTCCTCAGGTGAGGCGTAGCTGTGGCCCTCGTTGGCGTAGACGCGGTTTGCATTCGTCTGCTCGTCGTCACGAAATTGTTGCAGAAACAGTCGCTCGTAGAAGATGACATCGCGCGCATTCTTGATTTTCTGGCTTAGGAGATCCAGGATGATCCACGCCTTGTGTTCGTGGCTGATACCGAGATGGATTCCCCAGCGCGCGCGGCTTTTGAATTTCCCTATGGTTGATGTTGGCGGTCGGTATTGAACCATGCAGCCCCAGACGCGGAGCATGGAGGTGTCCCCCTTTCTTCCCGTCCATTTCACGTGTGGCGAGGAGTTCCCGGTGATTGCGGTGGTTGACAGCAGGTTGTGCACCCGCACGGCGTGGTGCATCGCGTAGGTCCAGTAGATCGGCGGGAGCTTTGCCTGCCGCATTAGTGCCCGTACCTTCGTCATGAGGGTGCGATTCGTGCGCTCCGCTACGCCCTGCTGCTGGTGCGCGTAGGGGAGGGAGATGTGATGCTCGATCCCCTTTTGCGCGAGGTAATCCTGCAGTTCCTTGCTCCTGAACTCCGCCGCACCATCGGACTGCCAGATCTTCAATTTCCCCCCAGATTGCCGCTGCGCGTGCGCCAGCCACAGACGGAATGCTTCGTAGGCTCTGCTACGCGCTTCCACGTTTACGACCCACACGTGGCGCGTTCCGGCGTCGACGAAGGTGAGTGTGTAGAGTTCGTCGTTGATGCCGCAGTGTCATACGTTGAGAAAGTCACTGTAAACCTTCTCAAGCTTGGCGTAGCGATTGGTTCCTGGCTCGAGTAGGGGGAAGGGCTGGTGACTCAGCGCAGCTTCGGGGCAGACAGTGTAGCTGCGCGGGTGAGTCCCTCCTCTCACTTCGGAGCCGTCAGGGCGCAACAGCGCGCCAGGTGCAAAGACGCCGGCTTCGATGCAGTTCTTCAGGGTCACGCGCGAAGGGTGACCTAGGCGCCGATGCCAGATGGCGTCGTCGGCGCGGAATCCAGATGTGCGCATGTAGCGCTCCAGTGCGGCTGCGGGGTCTTCGTCAGGTGCCGGTGCAGATGTAGGCGCTGCTCCCTCGTTCTCTTCTTCTTCCTCGTTCGCCGTCGTTAGCATGAGGGCGAGAAATTCTCTGTCGCGGATGATGGAGTAGGGGATGTTGGTTCCGGGGATCGTGCCAAGTACGAACGCCGGTTCGCGTGGTTCAGGGGCAGGTTCGTAGACAGTGCGTCGCGGGGTGAGTGGTTCACTTCCCCAGTCAATGGTGTCCCAGGGGTCACTACCTGAAGGGATGTCAGGCGGCGGTGGTCCTAGCGCAGGGCGGCGCGGAGGTCGTCCGAGAGGAACAACGGGAGGTTCGACCTCAGCATGCGCAGGTTCTTCTTCCTCTTCCCCCTTTGATCCTCTCGGAAAGCTCCCCAGCCGCTCGTTTCGCCGCCTTGTGCGGCGTCCCATCCGCCGATGTATGCGCCTGTTGCTGCGCCCCATCCGCCGGTTGCGACGCCCCAGCCGCTGGTGTCGCTCGTTCCCCATCCGCCGGCGCTCCCCCACCCCCCTTCATTGGAGGCGCTTTTCTCGTCCTGTTCCCAGGCGAGCGTTCCGCGTGCCTCGGCGAGGCTCTTCCGCCGAAGCTCTTCGGCTTCTTGTTGCGCCAATGTCTCTTCTTCCGTGGGCGAGAGCCATTTCTTGGAATCGCGCCGGTGAGAGTAGATCTCTGCCGCCTTTCGTTCGGTGTAGGGCCGGGGATTCCCGTGCGCGTCGAAGGTGCCGACGCCAACGCCGAGAAGCATTCCTTGGAGATGCTGGGATGCGGGTCCGGGAAGAGGGTGTTCCGGTGTGCCGAATACGACCCGTGTAGCTGTTTCCAACTCCAGTTAGGAGAGACCCTCTTCAGGCGGTGCGTCTTGCTCTGTTTCGCGAATGGCGGCAAGGCCACGGCCGGCGATCGCGCTCGTCGAAGACGTTGGTGTGTGGCAGTCCCTGCAGACGCCGTCGGGATCGGGGTCGTGCAGCGCGAGCTCGCGGGGGTGTGAGTGGTGTGGCACCCAGGGGCGCCCATCAGGGTGCTTCCAATCGCGGCGATGAATGTGTTCGAAGCGCAGGGGGACGAGGTCAATCAATTCCTGCGAATCGCCGCTGCAGTCGGGAATGTCGAAGTCGAGAACGTATACGCCGTTCTCGGCGCGCGCCCGTCCGATCTGCTTGCGCTTCTTGTTCGGCATCGTGAAGTGGAGCAGGATGTCGCGCGTCTCGGGGTCGGTGCTGAGGATGACTCCGCAATCCAGGAATTGCGCCGCCGAGAGCAAATTAAAGCGCAGGTTCTGCATAATCAACACGTCGTTAAGTGTGATGTGCGTTCGGCTCCCTCGTGCCTTGAGCACCACGATACCTTGCGCGCAGCCGCGTGTTGTTCGCCACTGTGACGTAAGTGACGACGGGAGT